GAGATAATTGATTCCCCTTTAAGATATCGAAATCACGAAACCTGGATATGTCATATGATATAGTCCGACATTAATGACAGCTATTTCTAATGCTAACGTAAACAGTAGAATGTTTTTTAACATTCTGCTATACCCGAACTATCGTTAATGTACACTTACCTTGTAATGTATTACCGAGTTGAGAATAATGTCCTTTCCAGGCAACCACAGTCAAGAAATATATTATGCTGTAGCACCGTTAAGATATTTACAATGGCAAGACAAACCAAGGGTTCAAGAAACGCCTGATCTCTGAAAATGTCTTTGGGTATTGAAAGTAACAGTCCAAATATAGAGCAGGGTTGCATCAAAAGATGCCAGATCAATGTTGCGCCACCGGGCCCATTCAGTTAATGTGCATGTTAGATAATATGATTTGAATACGCTATTGGGTACATACAAAGAGTAATAAAATGGTTCTCAAATGCGTCCCTCGCCATATACATACCACACCCATAACAACGCATCCAGGTCAACGCAGTTTAGACTCACAGTCTTATAATATTTACTTCTGTAAATTGGGTTTTAATAGGTTAAAAGTGAGTGAGTGAGTTTGGTTTTACGCCGCTTTTAGCAATATTCCAGCAATATCACGGCGGGGAACACCAGAAATGGGCTTCACACATTGTACCCATGTCGGGAATCGAACCCGGGTCTTCGGCGTGACGAGCGAACGCTTTAACCACTAGGCTACCCGACCGCCCCTATAGGTTAAAAGAGTTGTTTACAGTTTACAGTTGATATTGCATTGGAATGGGCACTTGTTGTTCCAACATATGACATGTATCTAATGAAAGATAAGGAACAAACCACGACAAGCAAGAAGTTCAGACATAGCAATCAACACATCGTGTATTGGACCTGAATACTTTTCCACTTCTCTAAACCCCGGAAACACATTACATGTCGCATAGCTAATAGCAACTGAATACATTTCCTGTTCTCTAAATCCTGAGGACATGTCCATTGTGCTGGATTCCGAAGCTCCATACCAATCCGTACAAAGAGATATATATGGCTGGGTCCAATACATGTACCACCAAATTCCTTTCAAAGAATGACCAGGGGCGGTCGGGTAGCCTAGTGGTTAAAGCGTTCGCTCGTCACGCCGAAGACCCGGGTTCGATTCCCGACATGGGTACAATGTGTAAAGCCCATTTCTGGTGTTCCCCGCCGTGATATTGCTGGAATAATGCTAAAAGCGGCGTAAAACCATACTCGCTCACTCAAAGCATGACCGTATCCTTTATATAATCAAATTGTTGACTTTCTTTATATTCGCAGATAGTATTTGAGACAAGAGGAGTTAATACCATGTGGATTCTAAAAAAAACCTGGTCTTTGCTTGAGGTTCAGCACAGTTTGTCAAAATGAAAGTATATCTCAATGTCATCTGAAGTTTACTGAGAAAACAATATGTGAAATGCTGGACTTCCTCATTAAAACATCGATTGGAAATCTGACATTTTGACAAGAAGTAGGCATCACAGCGACAGAAAATGTTCTTTCTCAAACACTTTCAAATACAGATTTAAGTTGCGAAACATCGCGTTGTCGGTTCTAAATTATTTAAGCAGGCGTGGCAGTATATTCGACAGTAAACTGACGACAATGTAGACACAATTGCTTGACAATGGTATACGGATCTATACCTAAATGTCGCCCTTACAGTAAATAAAGAACTAGTTAGCCATAAATTGTGTCTACTTTGGCTTGCTTGACAACGGCATGACGAATTATATCTATATAGATCTATATAGTTAGCAACGATCCACGCCATCGGGTACAATGTCACGCAAACCAACCAAGTCACGAAAAGTTACCATTGATAATTCGAACCGGCTGTCAGCGGATCTTGGCAACTACCAGGCAAGCAGCATAGCGAGTTGCGGAGCAGCTAGATACTAGAGTGAGAGACTGTTTGTTGTTTCTCGCCACATGCTACATGACGGCGATCTGTAAATAATCGAATCTGGACCAGACAATCCAGTGACTGACATCATGTGCATCGATCCACGCAATTGGGATACAATGACATGCATCAACCAAGTCAGCGATCCCGTTAGTCGCATCTTACGACAGGCATGGGTTGCTGAAGACCTATTCTACCCCGGATCTTCACGAGTCGAGTGGGTGACTGACGGAGTGAGTGAGTGAGTGAGTGAGTGAGTGAGTGAGTGAGTTTGATTTAACGCCGCTTTGATCGCAATTTCAGCTCTGTCACAGCGTGTCAACTTGATGTGGGGAATATGTTGCCCAGGAGCACGGTCATGGTGCTGACAAACCTTGACGATTAAACAGGCAGAATCTGGGATTCGAACCCATGATCATAGGTTTCTGCCAAGCGAATTGCCTCTCGTCACCACTGGCGGGATTATTAAGCAAATTAATAGAGTTAGTGAGTTTTACGCCGCTTTTAGCAATATCACGGCGGGGGACACCAGAAATGGGTTCACACATTGTACCCATGTCGGGAATCGAACCCGGGTTTTCGGCGTGACGAGCGAACGCTTTAACCACTAGGCTACCCGACCGCCCCCAAATTCATAGAAGCGACAACAGTCATTCCATAATCATAAGACATCGCTGCTAAAAGCCGAGTCGACTGTACGATTTCGACTATACCATGAACCTGTGTTTATGAATCACTATCAAATAGTCACGAGTCCAGGTGCCCCACTGCTGGCACCCGTTACTAACACACGCAAAGGCAAGTCAATTGGTCACCGGAGAAACACGGGAATTTGTACAACCTTGTTCTAGTCAAAATAGGGAATTGTATTGGACATCATTTTTGTCACTGATGCGTCAAATTTGGAAATGTCCTCCATAGACCTTTTTGAACGCTTTACTAAGGCCTTGAATGCTGTATCCTTAATCAAACAACTTCTTAGCAAGAGTTGCGTTTCGGTCTTTGGAGTCTTGGCAAAAACAGCATGCTTGATTGCACCTCAAAAGTTGTGAAATGTAGACACCAAGGGCTGGAGCTGCAGAAATATTGCTCTACATAAAGGGAAAGTTGAAGTCATTTCTCTCGTCATTTAGTCCTCAAATGTCTACCATACAAGCTTCACTGAGGCCTTGAATGTTGCAATCCTGATCAAACACCTTTTGAGCAAGAGTCGTATGACAAACACAAAAGTCGCATAACAACCACAAAACTGGAAACGTACTTAAATTACTTTATTATTACAATACAAAGGTGGAAGAACGGGTAGACGTGTATGACGAGATGCCAAGACAGACAGCCGCAGACAGCAGAGATAGTAGTATCGATACAAGAGCCCACACCCATGATAGAACGGAGAAAAGCAAACGTACGGGTTACGGAGACTGTCGAACGATCACTCCTACATAATATGTACAATCACATTCCAAAACAAAACGCATACAAATGTTTACAAACTGTTTTGTCATGGTTCCAAAAATAGTTAATTCAGTAAAAATAAGATACACTTTGTTCTGTTTTATTTGAAATGTATGAATTGGTTACACCACATGCAGACATAAAAAAACATCATTTAGCATGTAACAATTAGACGCCTCCCCCACCCCACCCCGTCCCCCAAATAAGTAAAGAAATTACGAAAAATGGGGGAAAACCTTTGAGTTGGATCTCGTACTCAAATACCAGTATTGTGCCCTAGTGACCTGGGCATATCTACTCCATCATAGTTGTCAGAAAAGTCTAGAAACTGGTTAAGGGCAAATCACGTAAAAGAAATATTATTTTTCATATATTAAGCTAAAGGCAACATCATATGTACCACCGTATACGAGCTTGCTTCCTTATTATAACATAGGGTGGGTAAGTTGTAACTCTAAACACAGACAGGCAGACAGGCAGTTTGAGTCTCATCCCACTTAGATATAAAAAAATGTATACAGCCTATGTAAAACCGACGGACAACTCCATACGGAGTTATATAAGACTAAGATGGATACACACTTAAAATTTCCATTAATTTTTTTTCTCTATATATCTAATAAGCAATAAATACACATTTTTCTCATGCTTGTTACATCAAAAACGATTTTACAGGACTGACTTTCTGTTTTAACATAGTACCGCAGAGTGTGGCCGTAACGCTGCACATGTCACATGATGCTAAATAAAACAAACCTTTTTAATATCACAGAGATAATTACACTTACCATATACCTCGTGGCCTGTAACCAGTGTCACGTTCCCCATTGTGGTCAGGACAATATAGCAGTACATTTCGTCTTCCACAGTTTCCGTATAGTTAAACACATTCTTTCTTGAATTGGGAGGTTGCTATATCGTCCTGTCTCCACGTGTATTGGAGCAGTGCCACGCCCGAATTAGTCAGTTCGCTTCTGGGGGATCGTTGGATGGGGCGTGTGACATAATTGTCTGCGGCATATACATTTTTGAAATTACAATACAATCTGAGTTTATTGCCGCCACAGCGGAAGCTACCAATAGGTTGTGTAATAGTCCGATTTGATATACCGTACTGATACCGTGAAAAGTTACAATTGACTGAAGAAAATTCGGCCACTCCTTTAACAGTTATATTCTTTTTACAAACTCTAATATTACAGTAATATATATACGTATTAATCTAAAGTATGAAAATTACTTATGTTTATTATTGTCTTTACGTAAGAAATAAACGACTCGTGGTCGTTGTTTATCGTAAAATAAAACCCTGCAGGGAGAATAAACCATGATGGGCGCAGCTAGCTCAATAGAATCCGATCTCGGCAATGTCGGACAGGTCTATCTTTTACACTGGTGGGTATTTTCCGCATATTCTCACAATCATCACGTCGACGACCTGTACCTTTTTTCCCAATGACGATTGTCATATCTCCCCGCTTTTGGAAGCGATCGTTCGGCCATCGCGTTATCTGCTTTGCCCAGCTACATCTATTGGAACAACTCACTTGTTACTCCAATATACGACGCCATCAAGTTGCGTGCATGTGATATGTTCCTCCTCCCTGGCAGACGTGCATTTCCCATGCAGGTTGTTGCAGTTCCAGAGGTCTAAAGCAAGGTGCACTTGTCCATCCTCTTCTTTACTGGCAAGGCAACTCTTTTGGCTGTTTCAAAGACTTCCCTAACCCCTTCCTTGGTCTTGGCGGAGCACTCAAGGTAGATAAAAGCACCTATCTTCGCTGCCATTGCAAGGCCTTCTTCTGTTTTAACTGGTTCTTGTTTCATCTTGGACAGTTCTCTCCTAGTGTTATCATCATTCCTGAGATCCTTTTTGTTGCCTACTAATATGATAGGTACATTAGGACAGAATTGCTTCACTTCTGGTGTCCACTTCTTTTGAATATTCTCTAAACTGTCGGGGCTGTCGATGGAAAAACACATAAGGATGACATTTGTATGTTCATGACACAAAGCATTGAGTCTTTCACATAACCTCTGTTCATTTGTATCCATCAACACCAGCTCAACCTGAAACACAAAAATGAGAAAATAGTCTTATCCTTGCAAGTAAATACAATGATGATGAAGAAGAGTCTTGTTTAATACTAGCAGATTCTAGATGACTGACAATATTAAATAAACATTAATGTAGAACTGACATTTCAATTACTTGTATGATTTATCCTCTATTCTTACTGAACTTATGTGTGTGAATACAGTAACAGTCTTACAGAAAGTGTTGAAACAGATTAAGGAAGGAACAATAACAGATACAGGTTTTTTCCATGCCGTGCATTTCGGTAGAAACTGATGCAGTTATAAGATACAGAACTAGGCCTCTGCCCTGGACAGATTCAAACATAAGGAAGGGCATAGCAGATTTGCTACAAGAAGAAATCCCATACATGACATACATCTCTTGTTAGTATCATTGTTTGGATATTTCACCAAAATGTTTAGCAGACAGATTCATGTACTGTAACTTTATACTAATGTTATGTAATGTAAAATTATAACACAAGAAGCAAACTCTACATTTCTACAAAACAAAAGTGGATTTGATGATGAAATATTGTGGTAAACCTTAAGTTGAGAACATCCTGACAACAGTTTAGGCCATTCTAGTAGCTTACACAAAATAACTGGTAGGCTGAAACACTCTGCCACAAACATGACACCACACCTTGAACACGGCACACACATTTTCCATTTGGGGTAGAGATAAACTGTGTGAAAAGAAGATGACCTGACAATAGAATTCCCCTCTTAATGACAAACAGCAAACTGATAGATAAACCATGTAAATCAATCAAAAGGGAGATAAGCCATAGAGCCGTGAACTCATACTACAGAAACACTTCCTGTTACAGCTTGGTGAACTACAATATCTCCATAGACACTTTTTAATCTATCAAAAGGTATAACAGACTAATGTACAACGTGAGAAATGTTTACAATCACAATTCAACAAGCTATTCTCATTACTGTACAACTGGAAAATTCAAACAAAATCTTGTGTAAGCAGACAATTTGACATTGGAATAGAGAACTAGTGGTGCAGTCTGCGATTTTACCCAATGTTCAATTCTAGGAAAATTATGTTTGGTCCAGTAACCTTTCTCAATAATAGTACATATAATAACACTAAACTCTAATGAAAATAATGCTATGTTCGGGCTTGTAGTCTCAGATGTTTTCAGTATAGATTGGTTTTGTTAACAGTCATGTGGAAAAAATGTTTTACATTGTTACGTTATATTGTTACGTGCGATTCCCAAATTGAAACAATATGTTAACCCAGAAATCTGTCCGTAAAAGAACCAAATTAGAAATGGTGTCACAGATTTGTTGAACGCTGCCTCTTGTCCCCCAAAACAAATCAACCAAGCTTTACATGAATTTTGAAAAAAACATGCAAACATGAAAGTAAACTCACCCAAGAACTTAGGACCAGACAGAAGTAAAATCAAAGCTGCCTCATCATAAGACACTCAAACAAGACATGTCTTTTGTCCAAAAAAAATAAATAAACCAAGCTTTACATGAATTCGGTGATGAAATGAAAGCACCAGCTAAGCATTAACTGGCGTAATCACTGCATTATTTAAAGAGTGACGGACACCCAGCGGGAAATTCACACCAACACAACCCGCTGCAGCAGCACACGACACAGGCAGGGAGACACGGGGAGCACTAGTCCCTCCTCAACACAGTGAGTTTATCGTACATGTTCATATACATATTATGTCCCTTGAAACATATGTTGTTACATTTAAGCATAATCATTCTAGAATGTCTAATATTTCATTGAAGCAAACAAAATCACCAAAAGTTCACAATCGGTTGTGTGCAATTTCATAATCGGTTGTGTGCAATTTCATCATTTGCATTTAGCTCAATGAATTGATTCATTTCAAGCAAGATCAATGTAACCGTAGTATGTGTTCTCAAAGAATAAAATACATATTGATCAGTTATGGAAAGATTAAAATATTTGTGTCAAAACTGTGCAAGGTACTCGTTACAGTGCAGAAAACATAATTTCAGCAGAACACAGTTGAAAAAGCAGGATTCTGCACTAGAATTCTACTGCAATTTAGGGTTTTTGTTCGGTTAAAAAGCACACTTAGGCATTGCGACAATCCATCCTACTCAAAATGAGGTTGGGTGAAATTGGGTTTAACGTCGCGTTGCACTTATATAGTGACGTGCATGCATGCATGCACGTGTACGTGTGTGTGTGTGTGTGTGTGTGTGTGTGTGTGTGTGTGTGTGTGTGTGTGTGTGTGTGTGTGTGTGTGTGCGCGCGCGCGTGCGTGCGTGCTTGCGTCTGCTTGTACTAGTCCGGACTGATGCCGATTTATAGTGCTAGCCCACTGAGATACATACCATGCCGCAGTTTAACATGAATACCCCACTCAGAAACAGTATACTGACTCCGAGCCGACCAGTCCTTGTTTTAGCTCCTTAATGCCGTGTGCCAGACAGGGTAACAACAAGTAGGGGCTTGAAGTTGGCAGCGGGTTCGTTATTCGTTTTTCGAACAACGAAAACCAAGCCACCACCGGGTTCGTTATTCAAAGGCTGTATATTAAACAACTGCAGTACTGTAGTTGTTTAATATACAGCCTTTGAATAACGAACCCCGTGCTGGCTTGTTTGTCGTTATTCGAAAAACGAATAACAAATAGCGAACCCACTGGAAATAAGGTCGTATCTTATATTTGTTATATATACCAAGTCTGAATAACGAACCCGGTGCTGGCTTGTTTTTCGTTATTCGAAAAACGAATAACGAACCCACTGGAAATAAGGTATCTTATATTTGTTATATATATATACCAAGTCTAAATAGCGTACCCCATGCTGGCTTGTTTTTTGTTATTCTAAAAACAAATAACGAATAACAAACCCACTGGAAATAAGGTATCTTATATTTGTTATGTATATCAAGTCTGAATAACGAACCCTGTGCTGGCTTGTTTTTCGTTATTCGAAAAACGAATAACGAATAACGAACCCACTGCTAACTTCAGGCCCGTACAACAAGTACCATCTTTTAACGTCCTTTGGTATGACGCGGCCGGGAATCGAACCCCGGACCTTTCGCTCTCCGGGCGGAGTTCTCAAAATGAACAGTCAGCACAAACTTACCTTTTTTCCGCCCACTACAAAATCTGCTACAAAAGTGTCAAAAACAGTTGGCACATTAACTTCAGGGAACTGATCTTTGCTGAAGACGCTGAGAAGACATGTTTTACCACAGGCACCATCCCCAACTATTGCTAGGTTCTTTCTTTTAGGAGCCATGGCTAGTTACTTCCTGAAAAAATGAAACATCACTATGAGTACTAGTAAACAAACATCACCAATGTCCATGAGTACAAGTAAACATGCTATCAGTGCACAATGATGTTCACGGAAACAGCTGATGATACACTAGTAGTTCAAATATTACTAATGTTTGCACATCTGGTCGTACAAATGCAACGATTTAAGTCTAAACATACCCTTTAAAATGCTTTTCTAAATATTACATTACAGATACGTTACCCTTTTAGTCTCTGCAGTAAATATAATGCATATTGCTGGATGTCAAATACAAATACTGTATTTTAAAGCTATTGACCCATAATGATTATGTACTGAAGCGAATTACCATAAATAAGATAGTGATTATTTTCACGGTACCTTTGCCATTCAAATTATCAAAGGGTAGGAAATACTTAACAGATACGTTACCGGATATGGATTTGGATTGTTGTTTTGTGCCGCACTCAGCAATATTTCAGCTATATGACGGCGGTCTGTAAATAATCGAGTCTGGACCAGACAATCCAGTGATTGATATCATGAGCATTGATCAACACAATTAGGATGGATCTCACCGGATATGGCAGCTCATTTATAGGCATGTGGCTTATACATAGATTCTCTTCCCCTACCCACAAAACCAGACACAAACACACGCTGTGCGTCCCCTACGGCAGTAGCCGAAGGCCTCTAACTGTCCACACCATACACATTTTATTCATTATTGTATTCCTCCACGAACCCCTCTGGTTTCAACCGATAACCACCTGAGGTTTCTTGCTCTGACGCCACAGTGACGTTGTATCTTACTGTAAGATTATTGGCGAAGAGCCTTTCCTGCAACGCCCCATCACCAGCTTCTGAAATTAAAGCTGCTTGCTTCATGGCTAGACCGCAGGCGAGAATAAACTACCCGCGCTATGAGGTCACTCATATACTCCATACAAGCGCCCACAATACACTAGTTCCTCTCTTTTGTATCTGGTTTGCGCATGAAGAGAAATCAATTCCATTCTAATTCATTCTATTCAAACGAAAGAAAGTTTCTCTTACCCTACCTACAAACCAGACACAAATAACAAACACACACTGTACGTCCTCTGTGGTCCTAGGCGAGAAACAAGGAACGGGCAATTGTTAGCTGCATCACCGTTTCATTGTATTAAACACACCAATCCCATTCGTCACCATTCGCCCCTTTCCTACCCTGCAAGAAGATTCGTCCCCCTATCGATGAATGTTATGTGCGAAAATACGACAAACCAATCAGAAAGCGCGCATGATTTCAAGTTATTCGTCAAAGAATCCCTCAGAAATAATTTTTGATTTTACATATGTCTTGCATCTAAAAATATACCCAAGACACAGTTACATGTGTTCACTCATACTGTATAATTCCGCATGTCTATGTATATTTAAATTGCATCTGAAATATATAAATTATAATATATGGGGAAATATATGTTAACCATTAGGCAACGAGTTGACAATTGTTTTAGGTATGCCCGTTTGCGCTAAGACGGAACCCGGTCGCAAAAATGGCCACGAGAGGGGCACGAGTCCCTATTAGGCTTGTCCCGGAATAACACGAGTTGGTCACGAATGACACCAACCCATTACCTATAGTCCTAACGACTTCGACACACTGAGTCTGACTCAAACATCTTTTACATATCCATCCTTGGCCTTCTCACTGCGCCAGGGCTCATGACTGTTCTCATTGGGGCTAGTGATTCCAACAATAACAGCTATAAAATGCATTCATAGCTGGAGATATACTATCACAGCTTTGTATCAATGATTATAGATAAAGAGCACAATGCAAAGGTACTACTGGAATAGTAAATGATAAACCGTGAGATTCAGCCAAAAGCTGGAATCGCCTGATACCATAACCATAAGGGGCGGTCGGGTAGCCTAGTGGTTAAAGCGTTCGCTCGTCACGCCGAAGACCCGGGTTCGATTCCCGACATGGGTACAATGTGTGAAGCCCATTTCTGGTGTCCCCCGCCGTGATATTGCTGGAATATTGCTAAAAGCGGCGTAAAACCATACTCACTCACTCACTCACTCACTCACTCACTCCCATAACCATAAGATTTAGATGGTGAAGCAGATCTTGCTTCACTTAAGCTCTCATTCAGTGGATTTATCTCTTGTCGCAACCTCTCTGGCAGAGTGGATATGACATCACCACACACACACATTGTAATATACATGAACCTGAAAGAAAAACATGTTTTGAATCAAATCACCCAGAACAATCTATATACAATGCTAACATTGGAAACTTCAACAATCATCAACACCAAATATGCCACCTCCACAATAACCCTTGACATATCTTTGCATATAGGTAACCAGACCAAATCTTTGACTTGCGAAATATAACTTGCATTTGGACACAGTAAAGGCCCAGAATGCCATCTAGGCACTACCAATGTACCTCTGGCCTTACACTTAATCACGTGCATCAACTCTCGCTACCAAATACACCAATCCAGTTCATTTCACCACTCCAGTCAACAGTAAACGTATCCACTGTTTCGCAACCTGGGTTCCAATGACGAGAATCAAAACATAAACTTTATTATTGTAATAAGATGCAAATCTGTCAATAGAATGAGGACCCCATTTATCATCTATCCATTTGAACACAATCTGCAATTCTCAAATCATCAGTGTCGCATAATATGCTTAGATAATCTTCCCAATCATTGTGGGAGCGAGGAATCCATTCCATTTCCAAATGAATACAATACTGTAGGCACATCTGGAAAATGTCTAGAGCCATGGACTGAAGTAAAAACATTCATACTCCCGTTCTGCACAACTGAAACCACGTTTTGGTTGTATGAACCATTTTACTGTGTGGAATATTTAAAAAACACAAAAAACCCCTGAGAAAGCTACTAAGTACATTTGTACCACGACAACTACTTTGAGCTCCCTCCACGTGGAGTTAATCTGCATTTCACTCACTGACCAATATCCATGAGAAGCACTTCCACTGAATGAACACAATATCACAAATACCCTTGCCACCAGCATCACTGTAGCTATCCTAGTGGGGGAACTTTCAGCGCGCAAGGACCTCGAGTTATACACTGAAATGTTGGACCACCAGAACCTAAGTTGTTCATAACTAGTAGGAGATAAATAGATCCTTTCATTCCAAGATCTTGCCTGTAACACATCAATAGATAATGCCCTCGTCATGTGTTGACTGACTGAACAATAACTGGCTTCATTGCTATTATCTGACGAAATACTCCGGGCCGCTAACTTACTCTTCATTTCTACAATGATTCAAATACAACCCTTGAGTTTACTAATCTTTCTATCGGGTACAGTTAACGTAAAATGTGGACGCAAAACCCGAGCCATTTTAAGCGCCGTGTGGTGACCACGACGACTTCTCAACACGAACGAGTGAGTGAGTGAGTTTGGTTTAACGCCGCTTTTAACAGTATTCCAGTTATATCGCGGCGTGTCAGCTTAATGTGGGAGGAAAGCCCAAAGTGATGCAGGTCACGGACGTTTACCACTTGGGTGAAACCCACGAGCACGGGTATGGTGCTGACAAACCTAGAAACATAATCGGGGCGAACCGGGATTCGAACCCACAACCATAGATTTCTGGCGTGCCCAAGGGACGCAACTCTGCACAGCGAATCGCGGCGCCTTAGACGACAGGGCCACCCGTGCCCCCCTCAACACGAACGAGACCAGATTGAACCAGATCACCTTTGACTTTTACTGCTGAGTCCCTGCAACCATTATTCCACAATCAAGAAATGTAACAATACCAAGACTATCATGACGCCATCTGTTTTACTAACTGTCTGGCAACTTTTGTAAAGATTTAAAGAGCTGATGTCAAACCAAATGACAATACTAGCCAGGCTCACGAAAAGCTAGGATAAGCAGTATGCTATAGAAACATTTCGAAGTGATGGTAAGCCGAATTTATATCAAATTTAATATGACAGTCATTGGCATTAATATACATTAAAGCAGTTCCCCAGTCCTCGTATTTCACTTAAAGCTTGTAAGCGTGTTTGTTAACAAGGGAGAGATCTAATAAGAGTTTTCTTTTCCCGATGATTAAGTGAGTGAGTGAGTATGGTTTTACGCCGCTTTTAGCAATATTCCAGCAATATCAGAAATGACACCAGAAATGGGCTTCACACATTGTAGCCTGCAACCTCGGGGTATCGCGGTACTTGTCATGTACGTTAACGGAACAAAATGCACTCACTAACCTTTATGATTATTCGTGTTCTCTATATCAGATATCATTTATTTTATCAAACTATGCATATTTTACTGATAAAAGTTCATTATTTACATTAGTAGCTCCGAGTAAAAGCTGGGCCTCGCGCTCTGTTTGACAAGGGAGAGAACTCCATCGTATTACGGTACAGAGAAAAGTTGTGTATGGAGGTCCGAATTGGACAAAAAGAGGACATAATTCTACCAACCACTTGGTATGATCATGCCAGACATCAGTGATTTGTCCAGACAAGTGCAAAGACAGCACAAGTAAAATTCTAAATGTGTTATCAGCAATAGGTATTCAATGCATTTTTACCAAAAAGTAAGAGACAAATATTTTTATAAGTCAACAACAAAATATCAGAAATGATATTTTAAGATTGTTTAAAAAAAATTGGATGACAATAATTTGTCACAAAATGGAAAAATGTTAAATGTCAACAATAAATATATAAAAAGCACTCCTAGTATGCCCAAAGTACGTATTTATCTTTTGGTTACTAGTGAAGAACGTATTTCTAAGTCTGGCATTATGGCCCTAATGATCTCCCAATAGATTCTGGGCACAGAGCGGGGGAAAATGTACGGACTACGTAACTTCCGTTACCTTATTATTCTCCATGAATATCCAGATGATCTAGTTCAGGTCGATAGAGAAAGTTTACTTGGGGAACTGCGGGTTATATCGTTGGCCATTGATAGATTGGGGTAAGGCAATATT